TACAGCAACAATTGTGAGGATGGTACAGGAGTAGGCAGTGTTTTGTTCTGTTGTACATAGGGCTGCTGAGTGGGAACCACCCTGATGGCACCTAACAACAACAATCTCTCTCATCAGTCAGCTTGGAGGATATTTGGCTGAGTGAAATAAGTCAATCACAGAATATTGCATAGTCCACTGTCATAAAAAAACAAGGAAAGGCTTACACACAGAAGGATGGGAATGGAGGGGAGGAAAAATTGCTAGCTATGTACAAGACACATATGGATTTGGGTGAAGGGAAAGGCAATATACTAAAAGCTGGTGACCAACACAATATCACAAACAAAAAGGAAGACATGGAAAGGTATACAGAAAACAAAGGTAAATAACTGTTACATACACAATACTGCCTTATTAGTAATAACAAACATTAATCTACAGGTGGATACATAGGTAGACAGGCCAGATAATCAGGTACGGGTAGGTAAACAAGAATACAACCACTACCATACATAGGTTTGGAAGATGATATTCCTACATGTGTATTTATATATGTGTTATAAAAATGTTCATATCCAGTTTAAACTAAACAGGAGGCAAAGTTATGATAACTTCTTAGCCATAACAACACCTCAAAGGATTGAGTGGCTAGGCCTGGAGGTTTGGGACCATAGTTGTGGGGGACATCAAACTCAATTGGTATAACATACTACACAGAAACATTGTTCTACATCCTATTTTGGTGGGGAGCAATTGGAGTCTTAAAAGCTTTTGAGCAGCTATCTAAGATGCCACTGTTGATCTCTCTTCATCCAAAGCAAAGAAGAGTTGAGAAAATCAAAGACTCGTGCACACAATTAGTCCAAAGGACTAGAGGACCATGGGAATCTCAGCCTACAGGACTCTGAGATCAGAAGAACTAGAGGGTGTCCAGCTACCACTGCCAAAAGGGACCAAAGCTGGAGTGGTACCAAAAGTTGGATATCCTGGATAGAGTGGGTAAAAAATGTGGAACAAAATTCAAATTCATAAACAAAAAGACCAAGCTGAATGGTCTAATAGACTGGTGAAAGCCCCAGGGCTATGGTCCCTAGTCACTCTCTGGGCCTGGAAATGAAATCACTCCCATGGCTTAACTTTCAGCTAAACTATAGACAGGCCTACTAGGTCCTTTCACCATATTGAACCTGTATGCTGAGTAAATAATCTGAGAATCTGAACTGTATGAAGCAGAATGTAGCACCAAGATTGAAGTAGGACTCATTAACAACCTGTGATATGGAGATAACACAACCTTATTTGCTGAAAGTGAAGAAGACTTGAATCACTTACTGAAGAAGATCAGAGACTACAGTCTTCAGTATAGATTATGCCTCAACATGAAGAAAATAAAAATCCTCACACCTGGACCAATAAGCAATATCATGATAAATGGAGAAAAGAGTGAAGTTGTCAAAGATTTCATTTGACTTGGATCCACAATCAACAACCATAGAAGAAGCAGTCAAGAAATCAGACACTGTATCACACTGAGCAAATCTGCTTCAAAAGACCTCTTTAAATTGGTGAAGAGCAAGTACGTCAATTTGAAAACTGAGGTGCGCTTAACCCAAGCCATAGTATTTTCGATGCATTCTATGCATGTGAAAGCTTGATGGTGAATAAGGAAGAATGAAGAATTGATGCTTTGAATTGTGGTTTTGGTGAAGAATACTGAAAATACCATGGACTTCCAGAAGAACAAACAAATCTGTCCTGGAAAAAGTGCAGCCAGAATGTTCTTTAAAAGTGAGAATGGCCAGACTTCAGCTCACGTACTTTGGTCATGTTGTCAGAAGGGACCATTCCTTAGAGAAGGATATCATGCTTGGTAAAGTGGAGTGGAAGACCCTCAACAAGATGGACTGACACAGTGGCTGCAAGGATGGGCTCAAACATAGCAAGGATGGTAAAAATGGCACAGAACCAGGCAGTGTTTTATTCTGTTGTACACAGCATTGACTATGAGTCAGAAATGACTCAATGGACCTAACAACAAGAAGAATGAGATAAACAATTACACCAGAAGGATGCACTCCTTAGAAAAAATCAACCACGGGAGATCAGAAGGGCAGCATTTCACAGGGAGAAACCTCAGAAGGTAGGAATACATAGGAAAGGACACAAGGAAAAGGTAACCACATGGAGGAAGTGGGAAGAGAGCTGTTGCAGAGTGGGGATTGCAATCCATGTCACAAAACAAAATATGATGAGCTGTTGAATGGAAAACAAATTTTCTGTGTAAACTTTCACTCAAAATCATAATAAAAAGTTAAAAAAAAATTATTAGTCCTCGGAAATCGTCTATGTAATCTACCTGAAAATTGCATTAAAGGCTAGACTTCTTGCAACACGTAAAAGTTTGGCTTGTATATCAGAAGAAGCTGAGGTCTTTAGTATCTGTCCTTAATTGTGTACCTTTTTTATTTTTTTTTTTTTAAAAAGACAACTTTTTATTGTGATTTGGGTGAAAAGTTACAGCCCAGATTGGTTTTTCATTCAGCAATACTTACACATCTTGCTTTGTGCCATTGATTGCAATCTTCTCATTTCCTCCCTGTGTTCAGCATTTCTCTTTATCCTTCTTTATCCCTTGCTGCTTTCTCAGCTTTATCCCTGGGCAAATGCTTCCCTTTTGATCTCTTATGGTTGATCGTTCTGAGGAGTACATACATATTATTATTGTTCACCTTACAAGTCTGTCTGTTGTTTGGCAGAAAGTTGAACCATGGGGATGAGTTCAGTTCCAGGCTTGAAGGGTGTCTAAGGGCCATAGTCCCAGGGGTTTCATCAATCCCTATCAGACCAGTAAGCCTGGTCTTTTTTTTATGATTTTGAGTTTTGTTCCATGTTTTTCTCCTACTCTATCTGTTGTTGTTGTTGTTGTTATGTGCCATCGAGTCGGACCCGACTCATAGTGACCCCTCCCTGGGTTTCTGAGGTGATATCACTACAGAAGTAGATTGCCCAACCTTCCTTCCAAGGAGTGGCTGGTGGATTTGAACTGCCAGCCTTCTGGTTAGCAGTCAAGTGCCTTAGGCACTATGCTACCAGAGCTCCTCCTACTCTATCTAGGACCTCCTATTTTGATCCCTTTCAGAGTAGTCAGCAGTGGTAGCTAGGTACCATCTAGTTCTAATCTCAAGGTTGTGGAGTCTGGGGTTCTAGTGGGTCATTTAGTCCTTTGGACTAATTGATTCCTTGTGTGTTTGCTTTCCTTCATTCTTCTTTGCTCCTAACAGGGAAATACCAATAGCTGTATCTTAGACGGCCACTCACAAGCTTATAAGACCCCAGTCACTACTCACCAAAGTAGGATGTAGAACACTGTCTTTGTTGACTATGCCAATTGACCTTGATATCCTTTGAGACTATGGTCCTGAGCCCCTAGGCCCAGCCACTCATTCCCTCAAGGTGTTTCGTTTTGGCTAAGTTTTCATACTTTTACCCCCTGAATGCTCTACTATATTCATGGATATATTTGCAGTACATGCAAATACATATGTAGAAATATCCTGTCAAACATATGTGTGTGTGTGTGTGTGTGTGTGTGCGCGCGTGTAGTCCAGTCCTCAGGAGGAAGAGTGGGCAATCTACTTCCGTGGTGATACTGCCTCAGAAACCCAAGGAGGGCGTCATTGTGAGTCTGATTGGACTCAAAGGCAGTGAGTTTGGTTTGTTTTTTTTGGTTTAGTCCAGTCCAATTTGTCATCCCACACCTGTACAACTTAATTGTGTACCTTCTTGAAGTCAAGAATATTTAAGAAAAATATTAAAAAGCTGTCCTTGCTTTTGACCACAAATGGGGAATTTCTGGCATTAGTGTAGCCCATGAAAACGTGATGCAATTTTCATTTAGCCATTTCTATGGAGCTTCGTTGGAATCAACTCCATGGCAGTGGAAGTAGATGAAGCCTCAAAAACTAAAATGCTGCAAACAATGGGACCTACTGTTAAGGCTATCCATACTTTTTATAAACCCTCACCCAAAAATGTATATGTTTCAATGTGCCAACTTTGGAAAAACCAACTCCAGATCTATACGACGGATCTTACACAGAACGGACGTACACAGCCCAGCGCAGCCTTTTGAACGGTTTTTAAGAAGAGAGAAGGCACAGAACCAGGGCCTAAAACTCCCTAACGGTGCCACTGGAAGGTGTGTGAGAGAGGGCTGGCAGTCCAGTGCAGGAAGTCGCGTTCTTCCCGAGAGGGTGCTACTTGTGAGAGTGCCAAGACAAATAAGGCTGACTTTCTTTTGGCTGATTTAGGACATGGAGACGTCCTTTTCCCTACATACTCCGTACAATGAATCCTAGTCCCACTTGGGGGTCACCTCAAGAGTCTGAATGGCTAGGGCTGGAGCATGCTCCCAGCGTCAGGCAATTCTCGTGCCACTGAGCTGGGTGAGAGCCCCTGACACGCCATCGTTGGCAATAGGACAGGGCAGCAAAGGGACGAGTTTTCTTCCCGGACTCCAGTAGGAAAACAAGGAAAAATAAAGGTGATTGCGTAACCTGGGCCTAGGGTGCGGCCTTGGTGAACAGAGAGGCCGTGGAATGACCAGCAGCCCAGCCTCTGCGCGTGAATTTAAGGCACTGCGAATTCACCTATCATTCCTGCCAGGGCAAAGTGCCAGTGCTTATGAAAATGCAGATTTCTAGATTCCAGTCCAGAACAACAGGACTATAAAGTCGTTTGGATGACACCCAAAAATCTGCATTCTAAACAAGTGCTTCGACTTAATGTGGGTCCTGGAAAGACTGAGGGCAATCGCTTCAAGGCCCGCACTGGCTTGACTTCAAGGCTTGCAGGAATCTGGTGCAGCGGTTGCAGCTGTGCAGCCCCGCAACCGAACAGAGTCCTTTGCTTTGGTCCTGCCCCACTGCTCAGCGCGGATTGGTAGTGGAAAGCAACTCTGGCTGTGATTGGGCAGTGGAAGAGCCGTGCTTGGCTACTGTAATGTTCGGGTGCTCCATAGAGCTAAATTTATCTACAGACGAAGGACCGCGCCAGCAGCGAATTGGATCACTATGGAGGTGGCATAGGCGATATCCCTGCCCTGAGAACATCATCATCCTGTCCCCGAATCTCTTTCTTCTGTTTTGTTTTTCATTCCCCTCCTTCTCTTCCTCTCCTCCCCCTCCAGTCCGCGACGACTGGCTCTTGACCCTGTTAAGGCCTCGGTGAAGGTGAGCAGAGCCGCCACCGCGGCTTAGTGGTGCGCTCTGAAATGGCCGCTGCCTTGAGCCGTCTAAAATGGCGGCCGCGGGCTCATCTGGGGACCGCGGCGCTGCTCTGCAGCTTAGCCGCAACGAAGACCTTCTCTCCATCACTGATGGAGATGAAGTAGAAGATAACGTTGGGTGTGAGACGTTTTTCTGTGGTGGTTAGCTGAGGCGACCGCCCGCGGAAGTAGAGTTCAGAGGCGAGGGTGGGCTCCGACAGGAAGCTAGTCCCGAGATGTGGCGGTCCGCAGACAGTACGCATCTGGGACAAGGAGGAGTTGAGGCGTAGCTGACCCGGGCTGCTTATCAGATGACTGTTTAAAAACGGCTGTAGGTGCTGACCTAAAAAGGGCTTTAGGTCCGCCCATACCTCCTAACTACTCTTTATGTCTGGACTATCCTGTCCTTCTCCTATGGGTACTGTTTAAAACTGGAAGGAACTGCCTTAGATTGAGGATGAAACGATTGTGTTATTTGTTACGTTTACTGCTAAACCAGACCAAAAACCAAACTCACTGCCGTCCAGTCGGTTTCGACTCATAGCGACCCCTCCTTGGGTTTCCAAGGCGGTATCTTTATGGAAGTAGATCGCCCAAAGTTCCTTCCGAGAAGTGGCTGATGGGTTTTACTGCTAGGAGAGACAAAAATGAGAATCTTTTTTCCCCCCTTTCAGAGATTAGAATGGAAACTTTACTCCCAAGGGAGTCCAGCCAGACTCTTTGTCCTAGCACCACTGAGGAGGTGGGGGATGAGACTTTCCTTCCTGAAAACAAAGCTTCCTACTTGGCTATGCCCTCTCGCAGCAAGGGAGTGGGTGCCTAATATTTTTGGTGAACCCGTAGCTCCACGAAATTCCCTGTTGCTCTAGCCAAATCCAATCAGGACTGTGGAGACACAATCTGCTCTTTCGCTCCTAATAATGGGGAAGTCATGCTTTCTGCTGCTGCCAAATTGAGACTCTTGACTTTTTGGCAGTTGTAATCCCTGTTAATCCATTTCTTTATGCACTCCCTAGCTTTTGGTACTAGATATGTTTAGTGCTTAGAGAATTTAAAAAGTACACAGGAACACACAAGTAATAGTTGGGCACGGGCTCTGCAAGCTTTTTGGGCTCTATTCTTGGTTCTTTACCCCAAGCTGTGTTAACTTAGCAGATGAGTTAGCCTCTGTCTGTGTCTGTTTGGTTCATATCCAAAGTGAGGTTATTAATAGTCCCTGACACTCAGATTTCTTTTGAGGGTTAAATGAAATAATCCATGTGAGTTACTTAGCACAGTTACTGGCACATAGTAAACAATGTTTATTCAATGAGTTGATTATTGAGGGAACAAAAAGTTTCAGCCAAAAGGCATATCTCATGTAATACTTCCAGTTGATCTAATTCTACTTTAGATGATTTTAATGGTTAGACATTAAGACGTAGCTCTACTTTTAACAATTCAGGTTAGTTTTTTAAAATAAAATTTTAATGCATTTTTATGAATTTGATTGGGTGAAAGGGATCTCAAAACAATGAAATTGCTAGGGTATTAAACAAGATAAAAATAATACCATCTTTACTATGTTAGCCATCATCTATTTCAGTCCAAGATCTGCATTGCAGTGAATAATCATTTGCACTGCCTGATTCTAAAATATATTGTAATGAATGGTCATCTTAGAGGTTTTCAGTCAGTTCTGCTTGTTAGATCAGTGTCTAATTTTAATGCTTTCTCTCATTCTAGGCTTTTGCTTACTCCCTTTCCCACCCATCCCTTAATTTTATTCTTTTGAAGATTCTACATTTCAAGCTGCCAAAGTGTGGAGAATGTGATTGCAGGAGAGAGTGCTCTTTTCAGGTATCTTACCCTCTGGCTATTAATAAAAGAACCATTTTGATGCAAAATCTAACGTGAGAATACACAAAACTGACTCTGTAGCCAGATCATAATGCTTAAATCACAAGTAGCTATATCTGGATAGATTCTGAATTTGTATGCCCAAATCTAACAAGCTGATAGTATTCTTTAAAGATTCTTACATTTACATTAATCTTCCTCTTAATTATGCTTCTTATTTATTCTATGGAGAATAAATCTGTTAAGATTAGAGTTTATGTTTTCTTTAGGTCCTAGTTAAGTTTTCAACCATAATGGGGTACAGAGTAACCATTAATATACATGACTTGAAATGAGTCTTAATTTGGATAATGTAAATATTTATATAATTTTAAGTCCAGGGAAATAGAAGCTACAGTTTCTTATTCAACATCAGTACACAGTATTTACAATCTAATAGAATTCCCTAGCTTGCGAAACTTTGAACTATATGTTTGTGTTTTTAATATAGCTCATCAGAATCGTTGCTAGCCCTGAAGGGAACCTCCAGATATATAGTAGTATCAACAGTGAATACATGTAATAGCAGTAGATATCGGAAAGCTAAAAGAGATTCCAAGATATTATATACCATAGGACGGAGCCTGCAAACCAACCCATGCAGTCTCTTTTTGTAAATAAACTTTTACTGGAACACAGTCATGCCCACTGTATCTATGGGTTTGAATAGTTGCAACAAAGACTGTATGACCCACAAACCTGAAAATATTTACTATCTGGACCTTTACAGAAAAAGTTTGCCAACCACTAGCATGATATACATTCCCCAAGGTCCTTTCCTTAAAAATATGCTCAGCTCTTCATTATTTCTTAGCCCAATGATTCCCAAATTGTGTTTCATAGAATATTAATATTCTTTAAGATAGTAATTGTTGTGAGAAAAAAAGATTGATGCTAACAGTAGTTTTACTTTATAAAGTTTCTTTTAAAGCTTAAAACTGCGAAAGTCATTTATATAGCTTTTATTTTTATGTGATAATCTACCTTTAAGAAAAGGTGTGCCATACCTGAGAGCACCAGGAAGTCGCATGAGAGAGCACCTGATACATGAACATAAGATGTTCCATCTGCGCATTGATGCATAAGCAGCATTTACAAATTAACTGCAGTGTTGCTGTATATCATCTCTTTGATGATTGCTCATCTTCTATGTATCCTGTCTTATAATTTCAGCACATTTGAGGTACTCAATGTTTATTCTAAATTAGCCATGTTTTGTACCACAAACTCATTCCCCATGGATCTATTGCTGAAAGAAGGAAGTCTTAAACAAGAGGTAGAATCTTTTTGTTATCAAATTGTATCTGAATCAAATGATCAAAAGGTTGGAATATTACAAAGTGAAGATGAACACTTGCAGCCTTCAGTTTCTAAAAAATCAGAAGGTGAGCTTTCCAGGGTCAAATTTATGTCCAATTCCAACAAAATAACATTTAGTAAGAAACCGAAAAGAAGAAAATATGATGAAAGTTACTTGTCTTTTGGATTTACTTACTTTGGAAATAGAGATGCACCTCATGCTCAATGTGTGTTATGTAAGAAAATTTTATCAAATAGCTCGTTAGCCCCTAGTAAGCTTCGAAGACATTTGGAAACTAAACATGCTGCATATAAAGATAAGGACATAAACTTTTTCAAGCAACATCTGGATTCACCTGAAAATAGTAAACCCCCAACACCTAAAATTGTCAATACAGATAATGAAAGTGCTACAGAGGCATCATACAATGTAAGTTACCATATAGCACTGAGTGGAGAGGCTCATACTATTGGAGAATTGCTTATCAAGCCTTGTGCAAAAGATGTAGTGATGCGGATGTTTGATGAACAGTACAGTAAAAAAATAGATGCAGTACAGCTATCAAACAGTACTGTTGCACGTCGAATTAAGGATCTAGCTGCTGACATTGAAGAAGAGCTTGTTTGCAGACTGAAAATTTGCGATGGGTTTTCACTGCAGCTAGATGAATCAGCTGATGTTTCAGGACTGGCTGTGCTGCTTGTGTTTGTTCGTTATAGGTTTAATAAGTCTATTGAAGAGGACCTGCTTGTGTGTGAGTCTTTGCAGAGTAATGCTACTGGTGAAGAAATATTCAACTGCATTAACAGTTTTATGCAGAAACATGAAATTGAATGGGAAAAATGTATTGATGTTTGTAGTGATGCTTCTAGGGCAATGGATGGAAAAATAGCTGAGGCTGTCACCTTGATAAAATACGTGGCACCTGAAAGCACCAGTAGTCACTGCCTATTATATAGACATGCATTAGCAGTTAAAATAATGCCTACATCCCTAAAAAATGTGCTAGATCAGGCAGTACAAATCATTAATTATATTAAAGCTCGACCACATCAATCCAGACTACTAAAAATTTTATGTGAAGAAATGGGGGCTCAGCACACAGCACTTCTTCTAAATACAGAAGTGAGATGGCTTTCCCGAGGTAAAGTTCTTGTAAGACTTTTTGAGCTTCGTCGTGAATTACTGGTTTTCATGGATTCTGCTTTTCGACTCTCTGATTGTTTAACAAATTCATCTTGGCTACTAAGACTTGCGTATCTTGCAGATATTTTTACTAAATTAAATGAGGTTAATCTGTCAATGCAAGGAAAGAATGTGACCGTTTTTACGGTATTTGATAAAATGTCATCATTGTTAAGAAAATTAGAATTTTGGGCCTCATCTGTAGAAGAAGAAAACTTTGATTGTTTTCCTACACTCAGTGACTTTTTGACTGAAAATAATTCTACAGTTGATAAAGATATTTGCAGTGCCATTGTGCAGCACCTAAAGAGCTTGCGATCTACTCTATTAAAATATTTTCCCGTTACAAATGACAAAAATGCTTGGGTTAGGAATCCATTTACAGTAACTGTCAAACCAGCCTCATTAATAGCACGAGACTATGAGAGCCTGATTGATTTAACATCTGATTCTCAAGTGAAACAAAATTTTAGTGAACTTTCACTAAATGATTTTTGGAGTAGTCTAATACAAGAGTATCCAAGCATTGCAAGGCGTGCAGTCCGCGTTCTTCTTCCTTTTGCTACAATGCACCTTTGTGAAACAGGGTTTTCATATTATGCTGCAACAAAAACAAAATACAGGAAAAGACTTGATGCTGCACCTCATATGCGGATCCGGCTCAGCAACATTACACCTAATATTAAGCGGATATGTGATAAAAAGACACAAAAACACTGTTCTCATTAAAATTGGAGGGTTTTGCATGTCTTTTGATAACCCAATGTAAGATGAAAATAAAACATGATTTCCTTCAGCTACAGTATTTTGGTGTTTTAAATAAAATTACTCAGATTCTTCATACTTCTTAGATTTATAAGAAAACTAGACTCCAAAATTTAAACATGTTGTGTTATTGTTGGTATTTCTTCTTTACATTGTAATTTGAAAAGATTCTGTAGTCATAACAATGAGAAATGCTGGTGCACAAGATAACATCCCAACTCCTTAGCATATTGCCAAGATCTAATACGTACTTCTTTCTTGCCATGTCTAAGCTGAATCCCACCAGTCACATGGAACTTCTTGCCATTCCCTAACCATATCACATTCTTTCATTCATTCAGGTCTAAAAAAATTATTCCTTTCCCATGTTGCCTCCTGACAAACTTTCTGTTCACTTTTCTACACTTAATTTATTCTAGATACTTTCATTCTCTATATGCTTTTATTTTTTAACCCTATCATACTGTATTTGCTTTTGTATCTATCTCAACTATTGAATTCCATGGTAGTATCATGACTCCCAATGTTACTGGACTAAGATTCCAACTCATAGTGACCCCCGTTGGGCTTCTGAGGCAGTAAATTTTTACGGAAGTAGATTGCCTAGACTTCCTTCTGCAGAGTAGTTGGTGGGTTTGAACCTCCAACCTTGTCCCAACCTACTCTAATTGCCAGAACCAAGACTGAATTCCAAAAGAGAAGATATCCTTTATATTTAAACCCTACCTACCCTTCAGAAATGAGTTTTGCATTCCTTAAATAAAACCAAAGCAAACTAAGTCTTAAGCACTGTCAACCTCCCTCCCTTGTGTTCTTGCAAAGCCCTTTGATTTTCTTCTGCTAGTTCATCCCTGAGGCTACAGATACTACAGACTATCTGGAGCAAGAGATAAACCTCTGAAGTTTGTTAATTTCACACAAAAGTAAAAACAACTTTAAAAAGGAAGAAAGGAATGATATTTCACTAAAAAATTAAAGAGATATTTGAAGACTTAAGTATTTTCATGACACCCTAAAATGACAGCTACCTTTTTTTCCAATGTATGAAAAGGAAAGTTCCTCTAATGTGTCTGTGGTAGTTCAGTTTGTGTGTCAACTTGGCTGGGCCTGGTTGAGTGGGTGGCAGCTAGATGTAGTATTCCCATGATGAGACTGGTAATCAACTCCATGGTGGAATCTACCACAAGCAGCTGAGTAGCCGCCTTTGGGATGTGGTCTGCTTCCTGTATGTAAGGAGAAGCCTTGGGGATAGTCTCTAGCTTATGGCACACTTGGACCCTGCATGTAGTCGTGTCATTGTTCAGCAGCTTGCCATGCTCTGCCAACCTTGGGATTTACAGTGGACTTAAATTAATGGCCTGCCGGTGGTTTGGTAACATCGGGACTGTGTCTTTTTACTTGTCAAACCTTGGGCTTGGCAGCCTCAGCAGCCAGCAGCTGTCTGAGTGAAGAAAAGCCTCTAGCTTCAGTGGGCCAGGAGCTGGAGGCAGAGCTGAACCCCAAGGTTGAGGGACTTTGACCCAGCCCCTAGAGCCTGGCACTTTGAACTCAGAGTTAAAGACGCCAAACTGTAAGAGAATAAACTCCTGTTTAAGGCCATCCCATTTGTGGTATGTTCTGTCAGAGTGGCACTAGGTAACCAGAACAGTGTCCAACCCAAAAGGACTTTCCCACTTTTAATTCCTGTATTTCAAGTAATTAAAATTAACTTGATTTAAATGAGGATTTTTTCATATCACTCTTACCCTACCATAAATTGTAAACTCTTTGAAGCTAAGATTTCTATTTCTTTTGAGTCATTCACAGAATTTAGGAAAGTTCTAATCCCTACAAAAAATGTTCAATGAAATTACCCAGCTGAAAAAATGAGTTATTAGGTGAAATACAATTTGTACTTTAGTATTAGGAAAATTAGCTTTTAAATCCTTAGCCTCTCTTAAATAGATAAGGCAGTAACTAGTTTTTGCCTTTCCAAACTTAAAAAGCATTTCTTTAAATAGTAAACTCACTTCTTGCATTAAAAATATGATTTCACTCCCCCAAATATAATCTACCTACAACTCTTGAAAGAACCCATCAGGTAAATCTAGGTTCCTCTGAGACTTACACCACATGTTATCTACTTTCATTTTTAAAGTTGATACAGCAGCACTGTTAATTGGTACAGTGGAAAGAATTCTGAAGTCAAGAGACCTATGTTCTGCAACTAATTAACCTTAGATAAGTTCATCCCCCTCTATAGGCCTTAAACAGACAAAAACAAACTCATTGCCATGGAGTCAGATCCGACTCAGTGACCCTTCCTTGGGTTTCCAAGGCAATATCACTACAGAAGTAGATTGCCCCATCTTCCTTCCAAGGAGTGGCTGGTGGGTTTGAACTGCCAGCCTTCTGGTTAGCAGTCAAATGCCTTAGGCACTAAGCCACCAGAGCTCCTCTATAGGGCTTAGTTTCTTATTAAATGAGTGGAGTTGAACTATAATGAACCTACAGTCCCTATCAAAATCAAATTTTGAACCTCTAAATAAAACTTAGGAGGATGATAGAATGTATTCAGTTATTTGAGATATATGGGGTGTCTTCTTAAAAGTCAAGTTTTTTCAGTTAGTCTTTCACCGTAATACTTTCTACCAGCCAAATGATAAAAATTTATAAATTGCCCTATTGTGTGTATTTAGTAGATGAAAATGGTTTTGAGGAGAGAGATGAACTTTGAAATTTAGAAAACATGATGAGAGAAACTAAGATATGCTTCATTGTGGTTATGCTGGAATTCAGGATAAATTGTAATTAAAAGTGTTAGGCAGACTGCAGTAAAAATTGTTGGCTGTCTCCCAGGCATCTATTTTCCTCTCCCAAATTATACCCCAGTTTTCTTTCAGGCATCCATTCTTCCCCTACATAATTTTTGTGCATCAAAATAAGCTGTCCCTCTCCAGCTTATTTTGTCTAGTTTTCAATCTTTTTGGGCCCTAACCCACAATAAAAGATTTTACATTGTGATCCATATGTGTGTATATACACCAAAGTTTCACAGAATACTAACCATTTGTACAGTGCAATCTCTAATTTTATATTCCATTTAATTTTTTAAATGACGGTTAAGAGAAAAAAAAAAAAAAAACTCATTGTCATTGAGTCAATTTCTACACCCAGCAATCCCTCCTTGGGTTTCTGAGGCAGTATCTCTACAGAAGTAGATTACCCCATCTTCCTTCCCAGGAGTGGCTGGTGGGGTTGAACTGCCAGCCTTTTTGTTGGCAGTCAAATGCCTTAGGCACTATGTCACCAGAGCTCCCAAATGATGATTGTTGTTGTTATGTGCCGTCGAGTCGGCCCCGACTCATAGCAACCCTTCCTTGGGTTTCCGAGGCAGTATCACTACGGAAGTAGATTGCCCCATCTTCCTTCTGAGGGGTAGCTGGTGGGTTTGAACCACCAGCCTTCTGGTTAGCAGTCAAGTGCCTTAGCCACTACGCTACCAGAGCTGCTAAATGATGGTTAGGACCCACAAATTAATTTCATGATCCAGTCGTGGTCATGACCCACTGATAAACACTGTTTAGTGCAACACCATTGCCCTTACAAAACTGTTCAGGCATCTGGATCTAAGCCAATAATGGCATAATATTACGCTGGAATTGGTTCAGGAATAACAGGTGACCCAATTCAGGCCAGTGAAAAGAACGAGCAATATTATGGGGGTTTTCTTCACTCTTAAGAAGGAACCAATAAAATAATATCTTGCATACATATGAAACCTGGAATTGCTGCAGTTCTCTTATCAACTTGAGAGCCAACATATAGAGCAGAACACAGCCAAAAAATTAGTGAGAAATGAAACTAGACCCCTGACTGACCCACACTTGATTGGTACCCTGCCATTAATTTTTGGTTACCTAGGCCAATAGATGAGTTTCTTATTTGAGCCAGTTTAAGGTAGGCTCTATTACCACAGGTAGAATCATCTTTAGTATAGAGGCCCAAAGGGAAAGCAATATAAAACTTTAAAATGTATTAGTAAACTTAGCTGCAATGATATAAGTCCCATCTCAAGATAGTCTAATCTCTGGTTATTCAGCAATCTACCATAGTATGTTGTTGTTGTTGTTATGTGCCGTCGAGTCGGCCCCGACTCATAGCGACCCCTCCTTGGGTTTCCGAGGCAGTATCACTACAGAAGTAGGATTGCCCAACCTTCCTTCCAAGACATAGATAATAAACTATTAAGTGATACATTGATTGTAGGCTGATTGTAAATGCTGTGAAGAAAATAAAACAGGATAATATCAGAAAAATGAAGAGGATGTCAACTGATAGTGATCTGAGGTCTTTCCAAGAAAGTGACATCTGAGCTGAGCCCTGCGTGATGAGAAGGAGCTAGGCAAAGGTTGGGCATTCCAAATGAAAGGAAAGCAAGTACAAACACCCTGATGCTGGAAAGAGCTTGCTATGTTTAGGGAATAGAAAGACTAATATGGCTGGAATAAACAGAACATCAGGAACATGATAGAAATTGTCAAAGAGGTAGGAAGGGGCCACATCCCTTAAAGTCTCATAGGCCAATATGAAGTTTGGAATTTATGATAAGTACAATGAGAATCCAGTGTAGTTCTCAAACAGAAGGAAACACTGGGGGTGAGGTTACCACATCCAAGGGTTATTTGTAAATGTATAAAGGCATTGAGAGAAAAGCTATTATAATGAGTATTTTAGATCCATTACAACAGATAAAAGGAGAACTCTGGTGACATGTTGGCTAAGGCATTTGACTGCTAACTAGAAGGTTAGCAGTTCAAACCCACCACCTGCTCCATGGAAGGAAGATGGGACAATCTACTTCTGTAAAGATTTACCACCTCAGAAACCCAAAGGGGGTTGCTGTGTGAATCTGAATTGACTCCATGGCAGTGAGTATTTTTGGTTTTGAGTACAGATATAATGTCCATCCATGTAGGATCCTTCTACCTTTATCTTGAAGAGCTCAAAGATTAGATGACACTAGTATCGCCATAGATTTTTGAGAAGAGTCAGAATTTTAGCTACCCCACTTTCAAAAATACATGTTATTTAAAAAATGTTCTATCTAAAAGGCAGGGACCACACATTGATCCTCTTTTC